CCCCACAGTTCCTGTCATCATTCAAAATTTAAGGTTAATTTCATTTGACAATTTTCGAACGAAATGAAATCACAAGAAATTAATAAACACAAATATAGAATCTGAATCAGAATCCGAATCAGTATCCGCGCATCAGTGAATATTTTGTCACCATAGGACTACAATATTTGCCTGTTCAATTTCATTTTTAATTTCATTTGAAATTACTTTTATTAGCTCATTTGCATATCCGACAGTTGCTCTCTGTCTCCGTCTCCGTTTCCGTCTCTCCTCTCTGTCGCGTGTCTGTGTTTCTTTCAGCACTATTTGGCCTTGGCTTTTGGGGGCCATCATCAGCATCCTCAGAGCCATTGCCATTGCCATCTTAGCCGTCTTCTATGTCATCATCATTGTCATCATCTTTTGTCGTCCGCCTTGGCTCTTTATCCTCGGTTCCTAATTCCTTAACGCCGCGCTTAACGTCCATTCATCTTCATCTTCTTCATGGCTTCTAAGCTTCGCCCCTTTGTTGGGCTCTTTTTCTCTCTATTGGCACTCGCCTCCTTACACTCTTTCCATCTTGTTCGCCTCAGTATGTGTTTTAGGCAAACGTGTCGAACCTTTCAACCTTTCAATGCTTAAAATTTCAGCAAATATTTTGTCTACTTTGAGAAGATTGCATTGGTTGAGGATGCTCCCATATCCCCTCCCAGAGAGGGTAAGAGGTAAAAGAGGATAAGTGGGCTTTGGGTGGACAATCTCACATGGCTAGGCTCTGCCAGCGCCGCCTGCCAGTGCATAGTTTACACATACACACACATCAGTATACAACGGTTTCATTTCCCCACTTCGTTTTGTCATGTGCCAGCTGCCCCAATCAACGCCCTACCCTGAACTATTAGCCTCGTTAACAGAAATTAGCACACATACATAGACAGGAAGCACACACAAACAGAAAACTGGGAAGAGAGAAACGCACACCCAACCCACCAGCCCCCCACTCAGTGAGATGAGATGTCCACATAGGGAAGGCTTCTCAATTTACAATTATCCATGAGGAAGTGACTGAAACATCATAGAAAATTTGTCAGATCTGGACAGGAGTTTGCTACTCTATCAGAAATGGCTTATCTATATATCTATATCTATATATATATTATATATATATAAAAGTAAGTCGTGTTTGTTACAACACTTATAACTCGAGAACGGCTGGACCGATTGCCATGGTTTTTGATTTGTTGGATTTTTTTCCGTCCCGAATAGCAGAATACATCTTAAAAACAATGAAAACTCGATATGTGTAATGAATACTTAATCATTTCAATAGATGCTGATTTGTTTATTACATGTCAAACATTTGTTGTCCAATCCTGTCGAATAGTGTAACAACTATTTTTATACCCGTACTCAAAAAAGAGCTTAAGGGGTCTATCTAGATTTGTGGTAAAAGTGGATGTGTGCAACGCAGAAGGAAACGTTTCCGACCCCATAAAGTATATATATTCTTGATCAGCATCAATAGCCGAGTCTATATAGCCATGTCCGTCTGTCCGTCCGTCTGTCCGTCTGTCCGTCTTGATGAGCTCCTGGATCTCAGAGACTGTAAGAGCTAGAGAAACCAAATTTGGTTTCCAGACTCATGTGATATCACACTGCTACAAGTGTATTTCAAAATTTCGCCCCGCCCCCTTCCGCTTACACAAAGGACGAAAATCTGTGGCAGGCACAGTTTTAAAGATACGATAAACTAAAAAACAGTATCGTAGAGAATGCCCATATCTAACCAGATTGCCGAATCTGAATCAGATCGGATCATAATTATAGCCGGAATGAAGAAATTAATTTTCAGTTGCTTCCTTCCCCTTCCCGTTCCAGACAACGCAACTCATTTTCCTTCTCGCTCGCACACTCTGCCGCGTTCAGTGCGCGAGCAACCCCTAGCGAGGGAATGTAGAATCTAAATGGTACTTGTACAAACTACATGTTAGATGTAGAATAGACATTGTAGATGAGATGTAGATAACAAATATAGCAAAAAAATGTTAAATGTAAAATTTTTTTTTAATTCTAAAATTCTGAAAAATCATGCTCAAAAATGAATATACTGACTGAGTATGGGTATAAGTGAGAGTCGCGTCCCCAGAAGCGACTCACACATTTCTTCTCGTTTTTTTTTGGAGCTTATGGCCTGGTTGCTGAGACCTTTAAGCCACATATTTATTTTTTGTAAACTGTCTACAAAGTTCAGGTACTGTTATATTTGTTTGTTTTAGACATTAATTTTCGAAAATTATTTATTAATTATTTAATTTTTAATTCCCAAAAATAATACCTAAGATTTATTCTACAGTAAAAACATAAAATCATTCGGAAAGGAACAAATTTAGGAAATAAAAAATCAGTTTGGTGGTTTTATGCGAGTGCACATTTTAATAACAATGCCTAGAAGATCTAATCTTTCCCAGCGAAGCCGTAATGCAATTAGGCAACAGAATATCGCGAGAACAGCGCAATGACTCGAGATGTTTTGGTGGTGCAATGTTTTTATTATCTGGCGATTTCCGACAAACACTACCAGTCATTCCAAGATCTACTGCTGCCGACGAAATAAACGCTTGCCTCAAAGCATCAAATCTGTGGCGATATGTAAAGAAACTTCAACTGTCTGTAAATATGAGAGTTGCATTGTTAAACGATCTATCTGCTGATGATTTCTCAAAGCAATTGCTGACTATCGGTAATGGCCGTGTTCCTGTTGACAAATCGAGCGGTTTGATTTCATTTCCTCCAAATTTTTGCAATTTCGTATCATCAAAAGACGAGCTTATCAACAAAGTATTCCCCGGATATCATTGCTAACCACAAAAATACTAAATGGTTAAGTGAGCGAGCAATTTTGGCCGCTAAAAATAAAGATGTAGATGACCTCAATTGTATAATTCAAAATCAAATCGTAGGTACTTGTATTCATTCAAATCTATCGACTGTGTAACAAACGAAGAATAAGCCACTAATTATCAAACTGAATTTTTAAACTCCTTGGATGTGCCTGGTTTACCACCGCACAATTTAAAACTTAAAGTTGGCTCGGTAGTCATCATGCTTAGAAATTAAAACCAACCAAAACTGTGTAATGGAACGCGTTTGGTGATAAGAAAACTGATGAGCAATGATTCACGCGTCGATACTTAAAGGAAAATTTAAAGATGAGGAAGTTCTTATTCCAAGGATTCCAATGATCCCAACGGATATGCCCTTTAAGTTTAAACGAATTCAATTCCCGATTCGTCTTGCCTTCGCCATGACGATTAACAAATCACAGGGCCAATCCTTGACTATTTGTGGCCTCAATCTAGAAAATGCATGTTTTTCTCATGGTCAATTGTACGTGGCATGCTCACGTGTCGGCAAACCATCCGCTTTATTTGTTCTTGCGCCTGACCAAAAAAAAAAAAAATGTCGTTTACCACAAAGTGCTTGAATGAAAATCCTATTAATGAATTAATCCGAGTTTTATTTTTTTTCCCCAATCTGCACAACATAGTTTTCAATCATTTTTTTCTGACATGAGTTTGAAGTACTTAATTATTATTTTTTTTTTTTATTCTCATTCTGTATTTATGTTTTCATCATCATTCATCATAATAAAATACTTTTTTGTTTCTATCTATATAAATATATTATTTTGTATCATTGTTTTACGTTCATCAAAGCCTAAATTTGTTCAGCTAAAAAGTAACACGACATTCATTGACTGTTAGGCGGTACGAAGTTTGCCGGGTCAGCTAGTAAGAATATAAATTAAAAAAGTATTCTTTGGGGATACGGAGAGCCTCTTTATCAGCAAAGCTACAGCCATCGGCCATCGTTAAAGTGGCTTTAGAATTGTTTGGAAAATTAATAATCGAAACATAACTATCAGCCCAAACTTGCTGCGTATATTGAGCGTATACAATTGGTATTATAAATAGAAACTGGTGATTAGATAAAAATATGAGAAGTATAAGAGAAGTGAGTAGTAGTCTGTAGTGTATGTCATATGGCACCAGCTGCTCGGGAACTGCCAAGAGACATTTTCCATGGGCCGGGAGTTTGGGTCACTTTCTGTTGGCGCGCAACTTCCGGTCCGAAAGGGCATGCCACGCTCCATGGATAGGATTTTTTTGACGTGATTTAAACTATACATGACCAGGACTTGGCCAATAGAGATAAACGAGTGTTGGGGAAAAGAATATCTAACGGCACTCACCACCATTCAAAGGAGAGCATTTCGGACGTGATTTTGCAGTTAGTGAATGGTTTTAAATAAGTTTTAAATATATGTATTCCCTAAGGGTAACAGGTATTTACATTTGTTGGCTTGAATTAATAACTAACGATTTATTTGACAATTCTCTGTTTCATTTTAATTTTCTGTGGTAGCAAATGTCTCGAGCTTTGTTAAAATACTTTTGGGGTGCTCTAGCTCGGCAGCTGTTCATGGCCGGGCCATGTAGATGTTTGGCCTCCCTTTCCTTCCCCCACGAGATCGATCTCCTAATAGCTGGCTTTATAAATAATATTTTAATACATTCAAATTTAGCTAGCCTAGAAATTTATTTAGACTATATTATTCTTATCGCGTTGTATGGCATTGGACTCGTCGATGCTCCAGATAGGAGTTTGCGTACGGAATATTCGTTCAGGCATCAAAACAGAATAGGGGGCCTGATTATATTTCATTTTGAGATCATACGTACGAACACCCCAAATGCACTAGCGCGTATGAAAAAATTCCCTTACGCATTCAAGTGAATGATTCCAACAGTATGTGTCAAATGAACATTCTACATTAGATATTATCCCGCAATAGGCTTTTCTCCAACTTTACTTCCAGATAAAAATGAATGGTGCAATTTAAAAGTATTTCGGGATAACTACGTCAGGCTAGTGACACAAATCACAAGCTGGTATTTTCCTTAAACACAAACGGTTACACTGAGCAACTTTTAAACTTTTAAAGCAATTTTCCAGCAAAAATGCAGCGTTCCAAGCACGAGGACAAAGATGAGAGCGCCAGTGCCACAAGCAAAATGAATTCAAGCACTGGCAGCAACAGCAACGATGCTGCTGGAACTGTAGTCAGCGCCTCAGCGGCTGCTGCCGTTCCACAACTCCACGCCAGCGAATGCTACTGTGCAAGCGTCGCACTTCCCGGCTCCAGTCCCAGCCGCAGTGCCAGTGCCAGTTACACCGCCTGTGGCGGATGCTGTGCCCAAGCCAGAAGTAGTCGCCACTAGTGATGCCCCAGATGTGGAATTCGGTCAGCCAGGCCAGCAGCCTCGTCAGTTCGATGTGTGCCAAAAGTGCAGCAAAATGGAAGTGAAGCGTGGCTCTGGTCACAAGAGTAATTTTCTCGCATGCAAGAGTTGCCAGCAAAAATGTAAGTGCCCCCGCCATCCAACTCAATGCTCGCCTGCACACTTTTCTACATCTATGTATTTGTTTATGCATTTCCAGGGCATTTTAACTGCCTTCCGCTCAAATTTGATGTCCTGGCCGTTGCACGCAAGTACAAGTGCCCGGCTTGCCGCTACTGCCGCGTTTGCGGTATAAGGGCAAAGATCTGGCCATCTGCTCTGAGTGCGTATATTCCTACCACCGCGATTGCCATGATCCGCCATTGGCCGCCTCTAGTCTTGGCGAGAGCCAGTGGAAATGCCACGGCTGCGAGTTCGGCACTAACCACCATAACAACTACTCGGCCAGTGAAGTTTCTGGACGCAAATCACACACGGGACGCAAGAGGCGCGCCCAGCCAGATCCCGCTGGTCAGGAGCAGTCGCCACCAGCCAAGCAGGCCAAACTTCAGCAAGAATCGAAGGAGCAGTCAACAAAAGCAGACGCAGACTCAGTCTCAGTCGCCGCCACAGTCCTAGAACCAGCCACCAAGAATTGTGAACCAAAGGAAGAGGAAAAACTCAAAAAAGATAAAATCGGGGGCAAGGACAACAGTGAGAGTGAGGGCGAGAAAAATCCGTATGTCTACGGATGAACTTAATGTGTCGATGGAGCCTCCAGAAATAAATCTGGATGAACCTGTACAAGAACAATTGGATGAAAATGGGCCAGAAAATCAGGCCAAAGGAGCTCTTCCCGAGGAGAGTCAGAAATGCCACTGGAGAACATGGACCAGCAGCCATTGGAAGCGGCGGTGCCCATTATTGTCATTGTTCAGCTGCCAGCGGAACCATCATCGGATGCATTTGTTTTTGTTTTCGGATGAACACGAAAAGTCTCCAAATTTTTAGTTACATAAATGTTCGCGTTTATTAGGTTTTATTCTCAACTCAAAGACAATAATTTTTGTGTACGAAAATGTTTTCGATACAAAAATGATGATACTGTCTTTCTCTAGTCAGAAGTAGACAAATTTCCTACATCGTTTCTGGAATATTCCTGAAGGAAATATAATTTAAATGTACATTTAGCGTAGCCTCTGCAGGATTTCTGAAAATGTATAAAACTACACAAGCTAAATTTAAATTTTGGAAAAGGATAGGTATTTCCCTCTAGAGGAATTCTGAATATGTATACCACGAATCGTGAAGAAAAATTTAAGTTAAATATAAATTAAATGCAAAGAAAGAAGAAGTTAAGAAGTTAATTTTGTCTTTAAGAATTCCAAAAATGTATAAACAAAGTCTTAAGGCATTTCCGATTTAATAAACGTTAAGATATTTACCTGTCCAGAAACTCAAAAAGGTATAAATCGAATCCCAAAAGGAATGAATTGTTTTCTCACAACAAATCCTGAATTAAATTTTATTTAAATCTAAATTTAATTAAAGGAAAGAGAAATGTACCCTCTCCAGGAATTCTGAAAATGTAAAAAATGGAACCCCGAAGGAAAATGCAATTTTTTTCGGTTCAAAATGAAAGCAAATGTTCCGCATTAAGTACGCCTTAATTGAATAAAGTCATAAGCTGCCTCTCATACAGGCAAAGTGAAGAGCGAGCCGATCGGTGCGTGTTGGGGCCTGTGCATGGCCCAACAGTCGGTTGCATGGAGGGGGGGCGTTTGGTTTGTGGTTCGATGCGGTGGGGCGCATCGTGCGGTTGTCGTATCGTATCCTGTCTGAGTATGTCCTATAATGTGTGTGTGTAATCAATTATGTTTTTTATGCCAAACACCATGAGGGAATGAACCAGCAAAAGCAGGAGTGACAGAGAGAGAGAGAGAGAGAGAGAGAGAGACAAGGAGGCGTGGTAAAATGGCAAAGTGTGTCCATGAAGCGGCACAAACATTAGCATCAACAACAAGCTGCCCCTCCCCACAGTTCCTGTCATCATTCAAAATTTAAGGTTAATTTCATTTGACAATTTCAAACAAAAATGAAATCACAAGAAATTAATAAACACAAATATAGAATCTGAATCAGAATCCAAATCAGTATCCGCGCATCAGTGAATATTTTGTCACCATAGGACTACAATATTTGCCTGTTCAATTTTCATTTTTAATTTCATTTGAAATTACTTTTATTAGCTCATTTGCATATCCGACAGTTGCTCTCTCTCCGTCTCCGTTTCCGTCTCTCCTCTCTGTCGCGTGTCTGTGTTTCTTTCAGCACTATTTGGCCTTGGCTTTTGGGGGCCATCATCAGCATCCTCAGAGCCATTGCCATGCCATCTTAGCCGTCTTCTGTGTCATCATCATTGTCATCATCTTTTGTCGTCCGCCTTGGCTCTTTATCCTCGGTTCCTAATTCCTTAACGCCGCGCTTAACGTCCATTCATCTTCATCTTCTTCATGGCTTCTAAGCTTCGCCCCTTTGTTGGGCTCTTTTTCTCTCATTGGCACTCGCCCTCCTTACACTCTTTCCATCTTGTTCGCCTCAGTATGTGTTTTAGGCAAACATGTCAAACCTTTCAACCTTTCAATGCTTAAAATTTCAGCAAATATTTTGTCTACTTTGAGAAGATTGCATTGGTTGAGGGATGCTCCCATATCCCCCTCCCAGAGAGGGTAAGAGGTGAAAGGATAAGTGGGCTTTGGTGGACAATCTCACATGGCTAGGCTGTGCCACGCCGCCTGCCAGTGCATAGTTTACACATACACACACATCAGTATACAACAGTTTCATTTCCCCACTTCGTTTTGTCATGTGCCAGCTGCCCCAATCAACGCCCTACCCTGAACTATTAGCCTCGTTAACAGAAATTAGCACACATACATAGACAGGAAGCACACACAAACAGAAAACTGGGAAGAGAGAAACGCACACCCAACCCACCAGCCCCCCACTCAGTGAGATAGAATGTCCACATAGGGAAGGCTTCTCAATTTACAATTATCCATGAGGAAGTGACTGAAACATCATAGAAAATTTGTCAGATCTGGACAGGAGTTTGCTACTCTATCAGAAATGGCTTATCTATATATATATATCTATATATATATATTATATATATAAAAGTAAGTCGTGTTTGTTACAACACTTATAACTCGAGAACGGCTGGACCGATTGCCATGGTTTTTGATTTGTTGGATTTTTTTCCGTCCCAAATAGCAGAATACATCTTAAAAACAATGAAAACTCGATATGTGTAATGAATACTTAATCATTTCAATAGATGCTGATTTGTTTATTACATGTCAAACATTTGTTGTCCAATCCTGTCGAATAGTGTAACAACTATTTTTTATACCCGTACTCAAAAAAAATAAGGGGTATATTAGATTTGTGGTAAAAGTTGGATGTGTGCAACGCAGAGAAGGAAACGTTTCCGACCCCATAAAGTATATATATTCTTGATCAGCATCAATAGCCGAGTCTATATAGCCATGTCCGTCTGTCCGTCCCTCTGTCCGTCTGTCCGTCTTGATGAGCTCCTGGATCTCAGAGCTACAAGGCTAGAGAAACCAAATTTGGTTTCCAGACTCATGTGATATCACACTGCTACAAGTGTATTCGAATTTCGCCCCGCCCCTTCCGCTTACACAAAGGACGAAAATCTGTGGCAGGCACAGTTTTAAAGATACGATAAAACTAAAAAACAGTATCGTAAGAATGCCCTATCTACCAGATTGCCGAATCTGAATCAGATCGGATCATAATTATAGCCGGAATGAAGAAATTAATTTTCAGTTGCTTCCCTCCCCCTCCCGTTCCAGACAACGCAACTCATTTTCCTTCTCGCTCGCACACTTCTGCCGCGTTCAGTGCGCTAGCAACCCCTAGCGGAGAGATATAGAATCTAAATGGTACTTGTACAAACTACATGTTAGATGTATAATAGACATTTTAGATGAGATGTAAATAACAAATGTAGCAAAAAAATGTAAAATGTAAAATTTTTTTTAAATTCTAAAATTCTAAAAAATCATGCTCAAAAATGAATATACTGACTGAGTATGGGTATAAGTAGATCGCGTCCCCAGAAGCGACTCACACATTTCTTCTCGTTTTTTTTTGAGCTTATGGCCTGGTTGCTGAAACCTTTAAGCCACATATTTATTTTTTGTAAACTGTCTACAAAGTTCAGGTACTGTTATATTTGTTTGTTTTAGACATTAATTTTCGAAAATTATTTATTAATTATTTAATTTTTAATTCCCGAAAATAATACCTAAGATTTATTCTACAGTAAAAACATAAAATCATCGGAAAGGAACGGAATTTAGGGAATAAAAAATCAGTTTGGTGGTTTTATGCGAGTGCACATTTTAATAACAATGCCTAGAAGATCTAATCTTTCCCAGCGAAGCCGTAATGCAATTAAGCAACAGAATATCGCGAGAACAGCGCAATGACTCGAGATGTTTTGGTGGTGCAATGATTTTATTATCTGGCGATTTCCGACAAACACTACCAGTCATTCCAAGATCTACTGCTGCCAACGAAATAAACGCTTGCCTCAAAGCATCAAATCTGTGGCGATATGTAAAGAAACTTCAACTGTCTGTAAATATGAGAGTTGCATTGTTAAACGATCTATCTGCTGATGATTTCTCGAAGCAATTGCTGACTATCGGTAATGGCCGTGTTCCTGTTGACAAATCGAGCGGTTTGATTTCATTTCCTCCAAATTTTTGCGATTTCGTATCATCAAAAGACGAGCTTATCAACAAAGTATTCCCGGATATCATTGCTAACCACAAAAATACTAAATGGTTAAGTGAGCGAGCAATTTTGGCCGCTAAAAATAAAGATGTAGATGACCTCAATTTTATAATTCAAAATCAAATCGTAGGTACTCTGTATTCATTTCAAATCTATCGACTGTGTAACAAACGAAGAATAAGCCACTAATTATCAAACTGAATTTTTAAACTCCTTGGATGTGCCTGGTTTACCACCGCACAATTTAAAACTTAAAGTTGGCTCGGTAGTCATCATGCTTAGAAATTAAAACCAACCAAAACTGTGTAATGGAACACGTTTGGTGATAAGAAAACTGATGAGCAATGTGATTCACCACATCGATACTTAAAGGAAAATTTAAAGATGAGGAAGTTCTTATTCCAAGGATTCCGATAATCCCAACCGATATGCCCTTTGAATTTAAACGAATTCAATTCCCGATTCGTCTTGCCTTCGCCATGACGATTAACAAATCACAGGGCCAATCCTTGACTATTTGTGGCCTCAATCTAGAAAATGCATGTTTTTCTCATGGTCAATTGTACGTGGCATGCTCACGTGTCGGCAAACCATCCGCTTTATTTGTTCTTGCGCCTGACCAAAAAAAAAAAGAATGTCGTTTACCACAAAGTGCTTGAATGAAAATCCTATTAATGAATTAATCCGAGTTTTATTTTTTTTTTCCCCAATCTGCACAACATAGTTTTCAATCATTTTTTTTCTGACATGAGTTTGAAGTACTTAATTATTATTTTTTATTTTTATTCTCATTCTGTATTTATGTTTTCATCATCATTCATCATAATAAAATACTTTTTTGTTTCTATCTATATAAATATATTATTTTGTATCATTGTTTTACGTTCATCAAAGCCTAAATTTGTTCAGCTAAAAAGTAACACGACATTCATTTGACTGTTAGGCGGTACGAAGTTTGCCGGGTCAGCTAGTAAGAATATAAATTAAAAAAGTATTCTTTGGGATACGAAAGCCTCTTTATCAGCAAAGCTACAACCATCGGCCATCGTTAAAGTGGCTTTAGAATTGTTTGGAAAATTAATAATCGAAACATAACTATCAGCCCGAACTTGCTGCGTATATTGAGCGTATACAATTGGTATTATAAATAGAAACTGGTGATTAGATAAAAATATGAGAAGTATAAGAGAAGTGAGTAGTAGTCTGTAGTGTATGTCATATGGCACCAGCTGCTCGGGAACTGCCAAGAGACATTTTCCATGGGCCGGGAGTTTGGGTCACTTTCTGTTGGCGCGCAACTTCCGGTTCCGAAAGGGCATGCCACGCTCCATGGATAGGATTTTTTTGACGTGATTTAAACTATACATGAGCCAGGACTTGGCCAATAGAGATAGACGAGTGTTGGGGAAAAGAATATCTAACGGCACTCACCACCATTCAAAGGAGAGCATTTCGGACGTGATTTTGCAGTTAGTGAATGGTTTTAAATAAGTTTTAAATATATGTATCCCTAAGGGTAACAGGTATTTACATTTGTTGGCTTGAATTAATAACTAACGATTTATTTGACAATTCTCTGTTTTCATTTTAATTTTCTGTGGTAGCAAATGTCTCGAGCTTTGTTAAAATACTTTTGGGGTGCTCTAGCTCGGCAGCTGTTCATGGCCGGGCCATGTAGATGTTTGGCCTCCCTTTCCTTCCCCCACGAGATCGATCTCCTAATAGCTGGCTTTATAAATAATATTTTAATACATTCAAATTTAGCTAGCCTAGAAATTTATTTAGACTATATTATTCTTATCGCGTTGTATGGCATTGGACTCGTCGATGCTCCAGGATCAGGAGTTTGCGTACAGAATATTCGTTCAGGCATCAAAACAGAATAGGGGCCTGATTATATTTCATTTTGAGATCATACGTACGAACACCCCAAATGCACTAGCGCGTATGAAAAAATTCCCTTACGCATTCAAGTGAATGATTCAACAGTATGTGTCAAATGAAAATTCTACATTAGATATTATCCCGCAATAGGCTTTTCTCCAACTTTACTTCCAAATAAAAATGAATGGTGCAATTTAAAAGTATTTCGGGGATAACTACGTCAGGCTAGTGACACAAATCACAAGCTGGTATTTTCCTTAAACACAAACGGTTACACTGAGCAACTTTTAAACTTTTAAAGCAATTTTCCGGCGAAATGCAGCGTTCCAAGCACGAGGACAAAGATGAGAGCGCCAGTGCCACAAGCAACATGAATTCAAGCACTGGCAGCAACAGCAACGATGCTGCTGGAACTGTAGTCAGCGCCTCAGCGGCTGCTGCCGTTCACAACTCCACGCCAGCGAATGCTACTGTGCAAGCGTCGCACTTCCCGGCTCCAGTCCCAGCCGCAGTGCCAGTGCCAGTTACACCGCCTGTGGCGGATGCTGTGCCCAAGCCAGAAGTAGTCGCCACTAGTGATGCCCCAGATGTGGAATTCGGTCAGCCAGGCCAGCAGCCTCGTCAGTTCGATGTGTGCCAAAAGTGCAGCAAAATGGAAGTGAAGCGTGGCTCTGGTCACAAGAGTAATTTTCTCGCATGCAAGAGTTGCCACAAAAATGTAATGCCCCGCCATCCAACTCAATGCTCGCCTGCACACTTTTCTACATCTATGTATTTGTTTATGCATTTCCAGGGCATTTTAACTGCCTTCCGCTCAAATTTGATGTCCTGGCCGTTGCACGCAAGAAGTACAAGTGCCCGGCTTGCCGCTACTGCCGCGTTTGCGGTACTAAGGGCAAAGATCTGGCCATCTGCTCTGAGTGCGTATATTCCTACCACCGCGATTGCCATGATCCGCCATTGGCCGCCTCTAGTCTTGGCGAGAGCCAGTGGAAATGCCACGGCTGCGAGTTCGGCACTAACCACCATAACAACTATTCGGCCAGTGAAGTTTCTGGACGCAAATCACACACGGGACGCAAGAGGCGCGCCCAGCCGGATCCCGCTGGTCAGGAGCAGTCGCCACCAGCCAAGCAGGCCAAACTTCAGCAAGAATCGAAGGAGCAGTCAACAAAAGCAGACGCAGACTCAGTCTCAGTCGCCGCCACAGTCCTAGAACCAGCCACCAAGAATTGTGAACCAAAGGAAGAGGAAAAACTCAAAAAAGATAAAATCGGGGGCAAGGACGACAGTGAGAGTGAGGGCGAGAAAAATCGTATGTCTACGGATGAACTTAATGTGTCAATGGAGCCTCCAGAAATAAATCTGGATGAACCTGTACAAGAACAATTGGATGAAAATGGGCCAGAAAATCAGGCCGAAGGAGCTCTTCCCGAGGAGAGTCAGAAATGCCGCTGGAGAACATGGACCAGCAGCCATTGGAAGCGGCGGTGCCCATTATTGTCATTGTTCAGCTGCCAGCGGAACCATCATCGGATGCATTTGTTTTTGTTTTTTTCGGATGAACACGAAAAGTCTCCAAATTTTTAGTTACATAAATGTTCGCGTTTATTAGGTTTTATTCTCAACTCAAAGACAATAATTTTTGTGTACGAAAATGTTTTCGATACAAAAATGATGATACTGTCTTTCTCTAGTCAGAAGTAGACAAATTTCCTACATCGTTTCTGGAATATTCCCTGAAGGAAATATAATTTAAATGTACATTTAGCGTAGCCTCTGCAGGATTTCTGAAAATGTATAAAACTACACAAGCTAAATTTAAATTTTGGAAAAGGATAGGTATTTCCCTCTAGAGGAATTCTGAATATGTATACCACGAATCGTGAAGAAAATTTAAGTTAAATATAAATTAAATGCAAAGAAAGAAGAAGTTAAGAAGTTAAGTTTGTCTTCAAGAATTCCAAAAATGTATAAAACAAAGTCTTAAGGCATTTCCGATTTAATAAACGTTAAGATATTTACCTGTCCAGAAACTAAAAAAAGTTATAAATCGAATCCTAAAAGGAATGAATTGTATTCTCACAACGAATCCCGAATTAAATTTTATTTAAATGTGGTGGGCGTTTGGGTTGTGGTTGGATGCGGTGGGGCGCGTCCTGCGGTTGTCGTATCGTATCCTGTCTGAGTATGTCCTATAATGTGTGTGTGTGTGTGTGTTTGTGTGTGTGTAATCAATTATGCTTTTTATGTCAAACGCCATGAGCGAATGATCCAGCGAAAGCAGGAGACAGAGAGAGAGAGAGAGAGATAGTGAGAGAGACAAGGAGGCGGTAATATGGCAAAGCGTGTCCATGAAGCGGCACAAACATTAGCATCAACAACAAGCTGCCCCTCCCCACAGTTCCTGTCATCATTCAAAATTTAAGGTTAATTTCATTTGACAATTTTCGAACGAAATGAAATCACAAGAAATTAATAAACACAAATATAGAATCAGAATCAGAATCCGAATCAGTATCCGCGCATCAGTGAATATTTTGTCACCATAGGACTACAATATTTGCCTGTTCAATTTCATTTAATTTAATTTGAAATTACTTTTAATTGCTCATTTGCATATCCGACAGTTGCTCTCTGTCTCCGTCTCCGTCCCGATAGGTAACTATCAATATAAATCTGTGGATTCCGCTTGTGTTGCTGGATACACACTCCAGGAATACGTAAACGAAACATTCCTGTCACAGTTGCCCATATCTACCAGACTGCCGAATCTGCATCAGATCGGATCATAATTATAGCCAGAATGAAGAAATTAATTTTTCAGTCGCTTCCCCTGCCCCCTCCTGACAACACCAACGCAACTCTTTTTCCTTCTCGCTCGCACACTCTGCCGCGTTCAGTGCGCGAGCAACCCCTATAGGGGCCCTAGCGGAGGAGATGTAGAATCTAAATGGAACATGTACAATCTACATGTTAGATGTAGAATATACATTGTATATGTAGATGTAGATAGCAGATGTAGGAAAAAAAATGTAAAGTGTAAAATTATTTTTTTTTCTGAAATTCTAAAAAATAATAAGCTCAAAAATGTATATCCTGACTGAGTACGGGTATAAGTAGAGTCGCGTCCCCAGAAGCGACTCACACGTTCCTTCTCGTTTTTATATGGAGTTTGACAGGAATTTTTCGATTCCGCAGTGCTGGATACTATGCTTTTAGCAGAATTTTACAGTTGCCTCTGTTTACAAAACACAGCTGATTCATCAAACCTGTTTTAGCTTTGTTCCACACCCTCACGGAATAACTAGCAAATTACTTGCCGCAATTTTCCGCGGTGCTGGAGACAGGCCTTTAACCCATGTTATTTTAAAGGCGATTTAGTTGAAGTGCCCGGAATGAGCACCACGGCATTACGAACATGATCAAATCAACAAAACTAAAAAGGTTCTGTGGAAAAAAGAACACACAGCACAAAAAGTTAATCTACATTTTTATAAGAAAACAATAAATAGAAGAAATTTAATATTTTAAAACAGAATTTACCCATGCCTTTTTCCTCAAAATAGCCAACGTGTTTAGTTAAATACATCGCTTATTAGGGCTTTACTTTTGAAGGGAAATTCATCGCTTATTAAGGCCTACCTTTTCAAGGGAAATTCAACGCTTATTAAGGCCTTACTTTTTAAGGAATATTCATCGCTTATTAAAACCTTACTTTTAAGGGGAAATTCATCGCTTATTAAGGCCTTACTTTCGGTTAGTTCTCGCTTACTATGTTATCGATTATATTCCTAGGACATCCCTGTGTTAAAGTAAACAGCCCATCGTATGGCAGGTCATCGCTTATGTCATCGAGCTGAATGACGTTGCCATCGATGTGTGGTTGCTTACATATCGCTGACTCGTACTGCAGGGACTAGCCTCGTTAACAGAAATTAGCACACATACATGTAGGAATCGGGAAAGGGCCGGCAGTGCAGAGAGCGACTCGAAGTGGCCGCCAGTATTGAGCAACGCCCTTTTTGAGCAAAGGAGAGAGATCAATTAGAGCAGGAGGTTTTTTTGGGGTTAAGCAAGCGAGAGTCAGCGTCAGTTGGTGCCAGAGTTTCGCGAGCTTCACACACACTACACATCAATCCACACAACCCAGTGAACCACAAGACGATAGTAAAGCGGAACTATCGCAAAATGTTCGTAAACGGACTTAGAAATGATAAAAATCCGTGAGTTGTTACTGAAGCCTCGCTCAATGTCCGCAAGCGGACTCCAAAAAGAGCATTTAGCGGACAAAAAGCATGGGACGTTTAAGTATCGCAAAACTATTGCAAACGGGCTTAAAATTGAATGGAAACTGTACAAGAAAGTAAAAAAAAAACGGAAATATAGCTAGCTACCGGTAAAGTCTCGCTAAATGTGCGCACGCGGACTCAAAAAAAGAGCATTGAGCGGACAAAAACCAGGGGACGTTTAAGTCTCGCAAAAATTACGCAAACGGGCTTAAAATTGAGTGAAAAATTGACCAGAAAGTAAAACATAACGGAGAAAATAGCTAGCTACCGGTAAAGTATCGCCAAATGTTCGCAGACGGACTTAGAAAAGACATTTATTGTACTAAAACCAAGCGTCGACTAAAGTCGCGCAAAATTATCGCAAACGGAATTAAAAATGAGTGAAAACTGGACAAGTCTTAAAACTATTCAGTGTTCTTGGGTAGCAGTAGGATAGGTTTATAGCTATATTATATTTATAATATTTTTAATTTACTTTTAATATTACTAGTGGGCTACTTTTAATATTACTTTCGGCTTGTTAATGATATTAAAATCGTATCGTAAAAGATAGCATAAAAGGCTCGCAAAAGATATTATAAAAGGTCCGCAAACGATACCTTCTGCGAGCTACCGAAAACGAAACTTTCACTGCCACAAACTGAGCGACTAGTGATTCATTTTCTTATCGTTTTTGGATCTGAATTCGATAGTTTTACGATAGAGGTTCAACTTTGCAAAAAGACGACCACATTTGCAAAAGGGACTCCAAAACATCGAACTTGTATTGAATATTTATATAGTTTGATGGAAATAAGTAAGCCAATCCGACTTGACGAGGAAAGTATTGTAGCATATTTTATCGAAGAAATACCAGATAGCAAGGTAAATAAGGCTGGGATGTATCGCGCGAAAACAATCAAAGAGCTAAAAGATGAAATTACCATATACGAGAGGATGAAAGGAAAAGGAAATAACAAATTCGGTTATAGCAAGGAAGATTCAGGTAAAAAGAATCAAAATGACGGCCTGAAGAAATGCTTTAAGTGCAAGAGGGAAGGTTATTTTGCAAGAGATTGCAAGGGGGAAGTAGTTTGCTATTTCTGCAATAAAAAAGGTCACATTTCCAAGAACTGTGATCAGAAGAAAGCAACTTATTCCGTGAAGAAAGAGGCTGCAAATGTTCTGGAAATGAAAGCTAACAAAGGATTGATTTACAAGAAACTAAAAGCTGCAGGAGTATCATTTATGGCCATGATTGACTCAGGATGTGATTTGTGCTTGATGAGGGGAGATATTTTTCAGAGTTTTAGCGGACTGAAACTTAGATACGAAGTAAAGCACTTGAGAGGTATCGGCAAGGGCGAGCTAGTGACTGTAGGATGCTTTGATGTCGATATTGTAGCAGATGAAGTCAGTTTTAGCGCAACCATTCACGTAGTTAAACAGAAAGAGTTTGAGTATGCTGCTATCATAGGAAACGATGTTCTTCAATCTGTCGATTTTATATTTAGCTCAAACGGCGTACAGCTTAGAGCTAAAGAGTGCGACTTTGCTCCGATCTTTAAAGGAATGGTTATTAAGGATGATTTAGAAACAAAATCGGTTGTGGACAAAGTCGATCTGTCTCATTTGGGAATAGACCAGAAGCGTCAGGTTGAAGTGTTGATAAAAGAATACAATCCGGTGACATCGATAGTGTCTCCCGTCAGCATGAAGATTGTATTGAATGACGACACTCCTGTATATCAACGCCCACGACAAACTTCCTACGAGAGTAAGTGTTTTATAGAGAAGACAGTACAAGAATGGCTAGCAGAACGAATTATAGTACCGAGCTGCTCAGAGTACGCGTCCCCAGTAGTACTAGTTTCGAAGAAGAACGGATTGAGAAGACTTTGTTCTGACTACCGTAAGCTTAATCAAAATATTTAAAAGGACAATTTCCCCATGAGCTTGATGGACGACGTTCTCGATAGGTTGCAAGGTTCTAAAATATTCACTACACTGGACATGATGAACGGATTTTTCCATGTGCCGATTGAGGAAGAGTCTAGAAAGTTCACAGCCTTTGTAACGCATAACGGGCAATACGAGTTCACACGCGTACCGTTTGGTATTACAAACTCACCTGCTGTGTTTTGTCGATATGTCAGTGCAGTGTTGAGGAATCTTATACAAACTCAGACGATTGTGGTTTATATGGACGATAAGATCATACCAACTAAGAATGTGAAGGAAGGACTGGTGGCGTTAGGAAGAGTGTTGAGTGTGGCATCCAAAGCGGGATTCAGAATCAAGTGGGAAAAAGCACAATTGTTGAAAAGCAGGATTACTTTTCTAGGGTATAATGTTGAGAATGGAACAATAGCACCTACAGACGAAAAGATTAAAGCGGTCGTTAATTTCCCAGTCCCTAAAAGCCGACAAGCTTTACAAAGATTCTTAGGATTAACTTCGTATATGAGGCGCTTTATGAAAGACTACGCTTTAGCAGCAAAACCTTTGAGTGACTTACTACGCCAAAATAGTAATAAAATTGAGGATAGACACGTAGAGCTGAACGAGCAGGGTTTAGTGGCTTTCAATTTCCAGTGATCCAGTGATCAGTCAGCTCTCATTACGCTTTATCACTGCTCGGAATGCAATTCGGACGTCACTGCCGCTCAGCTTCGTTGCTTTGATGCTGTTCGGTGTTCTTCTATATGTCGACGTGCGTTTTATTTGACGTGCATTGATCTGCACTCAGATGCCGTAAAACTGTTAATAAATCTGCCTAACCTGTTATGGCAGTGTGATAACTGTGTGGTTTCTAATGACTCGCATTCGAAAATTGACGAAATTAATGATAAGGTTCTGAAGCTTGAAAGCCTTTATCGGGATCTCAAGTCGGACTTACAGGGCCTTTCCGTCAATCCTAAGCGGGTGAAGCCTACTAGGAAAGAGGCCAACAAGCCCATGCCAGCGGCTGACTTGTTGTCTCCGCGACTAGGGGCCGCCACCTCGACGGCGGTCATTGAACCGGAATCAGCTGCTGCTCTTCCACAGTGAGAAAGAAGGAGAGGAAGAATAGAAACAAAAACACTAAGCGTTTTGTTGGTATTGCTCCGAGCTGTGAGCAGCTAAACGTTATGCAGAGTAACAAATACATGCATATCGGTAAATTTTCTACCGCAACGGAGCCAGAGGCGGTGGCAAAATTTGTTGCCGAACAACTTAAGGTGCCGGTAGCGAAAATTTCTTGTACGAAGCTAGTCAAGCGAGATGCTGATATATCTTCGTTAAAGTTTGTCAACTTCAAACTTGGGGTCCCTGAGGATCTATTTGCTGCTGTCTTTGAGGACAAGTTTTTGCCTGTCTCAGTAAGGGTTTCCCGCTTTGTACATAGACAGAGGCCGGACGCTGACCTGACGGCAGTAGATCTCCGCGCTATCGTACCGTTGCGGACGTCCACGTCCACTCAGGAAGGTCCAGTTCCGTCCACTTCAAAAAACCCCCAATGAGCGGCGCCTCTGGGTTCATGATCGCCGCTTTTCAACAGAATTTTCTACCTGAACCTGTTCGCCTCTTTGCTGTGAGCAACCGCCTATGCATTCATATTTGGCATTCCCCGTCGACGCAACAACTGCAACATATGCATTTTTCGCGCTGCGCTTTGTGCGGCATTCGCTCGGCTGCTGCTGGATCGGATGTCGATGCTCTTGCTGGCGCTCTCTTTCGACTGCGTGAGTGTTTAGCGTCACCCCCACAACTGTTACATTGCTTCGTGTGCTATGCTTGTGTCGGCGCTGCACTCGACACTTGGGGAGAGTCAGCGGTCCGGCGCTTGCTCTTAAGTGGATCACTCTCTTCAGCACCACTGTCAACACATTCAGGAAGAGTGGGTCTCCCAGCACCGTTCCCGCCCAGTCTACTCGATGGGGATGGGCTGCTGATCCGCACTGCGACGATTCGGCAGGCTTTCCATGTGAGTCTGGCCCCTGTTGCTCAGTGGAAACTGCCTGGTGCTGCTCTGGAGCCTCCTCCCGTGGCCACTGGCCGGACGTCATTTGCCACTCTCTGGGACCATGCTGATGGACGGGGCCAAATCCATTCGCATTTTCTTTCAAAATATAGCAGGTATGCGCACTAAGGCTCAGGCTGTCTACTTGGCAACCTCTACGTGCGATTTCGACGTAATCATCTTGGTTGAAACCTGGCTCAATGAAAACTTCTTCGACAACGAGTACTTCGATCCCAACCTTTTCCAAGTGTTTCGTAAGGACAGAGATTGTGCCAAAACGAATCGTCGGAGAGGAGGTGGTGTCATTGTGGCCGTCAGACGCACCCTACGCTGTGATCCGATTTGTCTCCTTGATGGTGACTCTATCTTGGATCAGATTGGTGTGTCAGTGGCCGGTCAGTCGGAGACGCTATGTATCAGCGCGTCGTATATTCCACCGAATAGCAGCTATGAAGTCTACAAGGCGCACACGCTGAATATTGCCAACATATATGGTAATCTACGAGGCCGTCAGCATCTTTGCGTAGTTGGCGATTTTAATCTGGGCTCCTTGGTATGGTCCGCTGATCCGCAGTCTGCGGCTATGATGCCGAGTAATGTGCATTTACAGCACGAAGTTCTTTTTCTGGATGAGTGTTATAGTATGGGCTTAACCCAAATAAATAATGTTTTTAATAGGTTAAATAAGATTCTAGATTTAGTTTTTGTTAGTGCTGATATTGGTTGCCCTGTTGCACGTTGCGAGCTGCCTATTGCAGAATGTGACATGCATCACGTGCCGTTGGTCTTCTCAGCTAAATTCTATAGTTACTCGCCCTGGCCTGAACCCAGGTTTGAATATATTTTTACTGATGTAAGTTTGACTACTATACGGGATGACATGTTAAACGTAAACTGGGCTTCTGTTCTTTCGCATCCTAGTGCTGACTCTTCTTACAATGTTTTCATTAGTACCGTTCATAATATTGTTGATAATAATGCTTCCAGAAGAGTGCGTGGCTCGTATAGGCTACCATGGTATTCGAAGGGTCTTGTTAGGTATAAGAATCTGCGTAACAAGTTCTTTAAACGATTTAAGAAAACACGTGACTCTGTTGACTGGACCAGATACGTGCAGCATAAGCGGGAGTTTGATTTTTTAAACAAATTTTTATATAATCAGTATATTGCTGACGTTGAAAGGGGACTTAAGGTTAATCCTAAGTCGTTCTGGCATTTCATAAATTCAAAAATGTCGACGAGTGCCCTTCCTTCAGCCATGAACCTTGGTAACTTGAGCTCAAATACTGATAGTGCCATAGCAAACCTTTTTGCTTCTTTTTTTAGCTCAAATTTCGAGCCATACACAGTTTGGCATGATTCTGATGTCTTAGACTCTATCCCTTCAGTGGTCAATATTGGCTCGCTTGATGTATCGGAGGTGGACATTTTGGAGGCAATTGCTGATTTCGACAACTCAAGTAAGCCCGACAGTGATGGCATTTCTGCCTTTCTGCTTCGCAACTGTGATGTTGCTTTTTGTGAGCCTCTTAAAATTCTGTTCAAAAATTCTTTGGTAACGGGTCAGTTTATTAAAAAGTGGAAAGCTGCCACTATTACTCCCGTTTTTAAGAAAGGTGCTAAGAATTGTATCTCTAATTATAGACCAATTGCCAAACTCAGCAATGTCTCAAAACTTCTTGAGCGAATCATTGCCAAAAAGATCTCTTTCCTCATGAAGTCGTACATAAGCCCAAATCAGCATGCTTTTATGCCGGGTAGATCAACGACCACTAATTTGGTGGCCTTCAGTAATTTTTGCACACATGCCTTTGAAAGGCATTCTCAGGTCGATGTAGTGTACACTGACTTTGCTAAGGCTTTTGACAAAGTCTCCCACTGTGCCTTAGTAGCCAAGCTGCATCGGTTGGGGATTCATTCGAGCATGCTTTGTTGGTTCATGTCGTATCTGGAGCAGCGAGAGTATGTTGTGTTGGTAAACGGAAAGCAGTCGGACCCATATTTGGCTACTTCCGGCCTTCCACAGGGAAGTGCTCTTGGGCCGTTGCTGTTTGCTATTTTCATTAATGACATATGTTTCAGCATTCAATCTTCTGAGCATTTGCTTTATGCTGATGATCTGAAAATCTTCCGTCCTATCAAAACTTTAGGCGACAGTATCCGTCTTCAGCGAGACCTGGATGCAGTCGCTCGTTGGTGCACACATAATTCTCTGCCTCTCAACATTAACAAATGTTACTTTGTGTCCTTTAGCAAGTGTGTATTCAATGTTCAGGCCTCATATTCGCTTGTTGGCCTTCCGCTCTTGAAGCATGCAGAGGCACTTGACCTAGGGGTCTTGTTCGATTCAAAATTTCTTTTTATCGAGCATTTGAACTTCATTTTGCCAAGAGCCTATGCTATGTTCGGCTTTGTTACGCGTAATTCATCCCAGTTTAGGGACCCATATACGAGGCTAAGTCTTTATTCATTTCTTGTGCGCTCGCGCCTTGAGTATGCTTCGGTGGTTTGGAACCCCACTGGGGTCGTTCAAATTGCTCGTATCGAGAGATTGCAAAGGAAGTTTTTGAAGTTTGCACTCCAGCCTTTGCAATTTTCCGTTCCGTTGCCGTCCTATGAGTGCAGATGTCGCCTCGTGCATCTCTCCTCTCTGAGGATCGAAGGACTATTGCGGCTCAGTTATTTATATACAATATATTAGTGGGTAACATTGATTGCCCTGACCTGCTTGCTGGGACTAGCTTTAACACGCCTGCCAGGAGCCTTAGGGGCCATGCACTCTTTGTAGTTGATCTTCACCGGAACAATTACGGTAATAACGAGCCAATATGTAGGGCTCTTCGCCGGTATAATTCGCTACCTGCTGGGATGCGATTCGATTTTTCCCTTGGGAAAGGAGCCGTCAGACCCGTCAGAGCTTTCTGAGTTTTTCTTGTTTAATTGTTAATTCCTCATTTTGTATTTACTTTTTAATGTAGAATTAAGTTAGTCTAGCCAGATAAGGTTTATCCGTTGGCGAATAAATAAATAAATAAATTTCTTGAAGCATCTACTAGTATCAGCACCTGTACTAAAATTGTTCGATCCGATAGCTGTAACCGAGGTACACAGATGCGAGCAAGTATGGCTTCGGAGGCATTCTAATGCAGAAAGATTCGGAAGATGAACAATTTCATCCGATTCAGTTCATGAGCAGAAAAACAAACCCTTTCGAGGAAAAGTACAGCTCCTACGAACTCGAGGTATTAGCCATCGTCAACGCGATAAAGAAATGGAGAATTTATTTGAGGGAAAGCAGTTTACAGTCGTCACAGATTGCAACGCTTTTGCAATGACCATCAAAAGATGATTTACCGCCCAGAGTGGCAAGATGGGCCATGGCTTTACAAGAGTTTGATTTTAAAGTAGAACACAGAGCTGGAACTAAGATGAAGCATGTTGATGCACTTAGCCGTTTGTCGTTTTTCCTAATCAAAGACTCCACAAAGTATCGGTTGGTAGAAGCACAATTATAGTTGGATAAAAGCAGTAAAAGTCGTATTATCCAACAATGACACGTACGAAGATTATTTCCTTAAAAATAATTGTGGGTCGTTCCTGAGTCTATGCAAGATGAAATTATTACCATAGCGCATAGGGAGGGCCACTTTAGTTTTAGGAAAACGAGAGACATGTTAGAAAAATTTTATTTTATACCAGACATTCAGAAGAAGGTAGAAAGAGTTGTCAAAGAATGCGTTGAATGCCTGATCACAGACTCCAAACGAGGCAAAAGGAGGGGCTGCTAACACCTATTGACAAAGCACAAGAACCCCTGGGAATCTATCACATCGATCATGTAGGCCCACTTACTGACACAAAAAAGAAATACAACCACATATTGGCAATCGTAGATGGATTTTCAAAATTTGTGTGGCTTTATCCGACCAAGTCAACGGGTTCAGGCGAAGTTATAGATAAGCTCGAAAAGCAAGCAGCCGTTTTTGGTAATCCTCGTCGAATCGTAACTTACAGGGGCACTGCATTCACTTCAGGTGCTTTTAATGAGTACTGCAGTCACGAAGACATTCAATTATTACATATTACCACAGGTATTCCTAGAGGCAACGGGCAGGTAGAACGGATACACAAGATTGTCATTCCAATGTTAAGCAAAATATGTCAAGACAATCCAGGCAATTGGTATCGCCATGTAGGCAGAGTTCAGCAAATAATTAATAATACTCGCCCTCGAACCACAAAGTATAGTCCGTTTAAAGTTTTGACTGGATTGAATATGATGAAGAAAGATGATGACCTCAGGAAAATATTAGAAGATTTGGAAGTAGAAGAACTCATTGATGGTGGAGAAGAAATACGAAAGAAAGCACAAGAGAATATTGAGAAAGTTCAGCAAGAAAAATAGGAAGAATTTCAACCAAAAAAGAGAAGGTGGAAAATGAGTACAAGTTGGGTGAATTGGTAGCAATTAAAAGAACACAGTATGGCACTGGTATGAAACTTAGACCAAAATTTTTCGGACCATATAAAATTATAAAGAAAATGAATCATGGTCGCTATGAGGTTCAGAAAGCAGGCAACCAAGAAGGGCCAAAAGTTACAACTACTGCTGCCGAATATATGAAATATATATATATATATTCACCCATTCGTGCCCATACCTTGCCATCAGCTGGGCTCTGCCATTCCCTCACATGCCCCATTCCCACAATCGGCCATCCTGAATCTTCATTCGCCCCTAAATGAATATATATATATATATATATATATATATATATATGGCCGATGGCCGATTGTTGGAATGGGGCATATGAGGGAATGGCAGAGCCCAGCTCATGGCAAGGTATGGGCACGAATGGGTGAGGGACATAGGCCGAAGACGCAGGGTCGCATTCTCGATATCACTCTCTCTCGCACGTTTTGCCTCGAGGTTATAAAAAAGAAGGAGTTGCTGCGGATCGTCGAACGAGAAGAGTCAAGTTTTGTGCCGTGAATGCAAACCGTATAATATTAATTACGAAACTTTGTACTATATACTATGCAACCTATCTGTTAAACAAACTTGCGACATTACCCAAAAATAAAAACACTAATTTGTAATCCCTACAAAATATTGGGGGCTCGTCCGGGAATGTCCAAGAAAGAACAGTGCATAGTTGTGCGTTAACACATCGGAAAAGAGTGACGGCCGGCGAGAAAATTCCAAGAAAGGCGAAGTTTGATGAACACTAACAAAGGCTAAAACAATGCCAAAAATTTTCTTGGAACATCTGTAATAGACGCCACACAGAAACGCTAATTCCTGTGTGCGTGTGTGTGTGTAAAGAAGTCGGCAAGCAAAAAATGCGGCGAATTGAAGGAGCACAAAGTACGAAGAAATAGAAAGATTGACGAAACGAGGAAAAAAAAAAAATAAAAGAAAGACACGAGGGACCACAGAACCATACAGAAACGCCAATTCCCGTATGTGTATGTCTGTGTGAAGATGTCTGCGAGCAAAAAATGAGACGAATTGAACGACCGCAGATCTTTTGTACGAAGCCATAGAAGGAAGAGGAGCCTTAAAATTGAATGGAAACTGTACAAGAAAGTAAAAAAAAACGGAAATATAGCTAGCTACCGGTAAAGTCTCGCTAAATGTGCGCACGCGGACTTAGAAAAGAGCATTTATTGTACTAAAACCAAGCGTCGACTAAAGTCGCGCAAAATTATCGCAAACGGAACTAAAAATTAGTGAAAACTGGACAAGTCTTAAAACTATTCAGTGTTCTTGGGTAGCAGTAGGATAGGTTTATAATTCACATCTGCTTCTGGATGTGGGACATGGAAACCCCGATGCCGATCAGAGGCGTAGAGGTTAACAATGATCACGAGCGTGTTCCTCCGGAGTAAGACTTGGTCATTGCACGTCGGCTGAGTTGACTTTTGCGATTATTCCTAATGTAAATATCTCGTCTGTGTAAATTTTGATAGCCGGGAATAGCGTTTGCGCCGTCCCTACTTAAATAATAAATATGCGAACAAAATACGAGACAAAAAATATTATTTTTAATTTACTTTTAATATTACTAGTGGGCTACTTTTAATATTACTTTCGGCTCGATAATGATATTAAAAACGTATCGTAAAAGATAGCATAAAAGGCTCGCAAAAGATATTATAAAAGGTCCGCAAACGATACCTTATTCGAGCTACCGAAAACGAAACTTTCACTGCCACAAATTGAGCGACTAGTGATTCATTTTTTTATTATCGTTTTTGGATCTAAATTCGATAGTTTTACCCGCTTGAGTTTCGCGTAACTCACGTTTGCGATATCGTTTACGAAGTTTTGGTCCACTGGGAAATCACAAATTACACACATACAAATACACATAATCATAATCCAATTTCAATAAAATTAAATTAAAGTAACAATAACTACTACTATAATAAAACTACCGTCGTCTTGGGCTTTAATCCACATCAGTGCAAAAACCCTGGGCCACACCACTAACCATACGGTATATAGATGTTCCAGTTCATACACCGAACGTGTCGCTGCTGAGTTTTCTGTCCCAGGTCCCCAGGTCATCGGCTGCTGGACCTGTGACGTTCGGGTGTGGACCTGAGACGTTCGGCATTTTTTTTGTCTTTGTCTCAATCTATTTTTTCCCTCACTTTTACGCATCCCGCGGTGCTGCGTGAGTTTTACTTTGCATTCGTCCATTCACATTCATGGGGGGTCGGGACACGCTCCTCGCATTACCAATTTGAATAAAATATGAGATTTTTATTATATGGCAATGAACCCACCTCCTCTTCTCCTGCTCCTGCTCATCCTCCCTCTGAGCTGTTCTAATGACCAGCCAATGGCTTGATAATGGCAGGGTCCAGTTTGCTCTGCCCACCCATGCCGGGGCATATAATATCGTTATTTTATGCAAGTTTCTGTTGGAATACCCTGGGAATACAGAAAACAGGGCAGGGGTAGAGTTAGAGACGGCATATACATTTATTTAAATGATTTTAAATTTGTTTAATCTATAATACATATTTGCCAATGAGTATGCCAATAAAGATGAAGAAAAAAAATTTTAGCATAGTTCTATTTAAGTGTTTGAACGCATTATTAAATTGCAACAATATCTCCCGAAAGACCCGCCGGTCTTCCCACATCACTGCATCGTAATCTTCCAACTCTCTCTCGCCCATTCTAGACTAAACGTAGATAGAGTTAAATGAAATGTTATAGTTCAGGGTACATGGCTCTTACCCGACTTTTTCCCTTTTCTTTCCTTTTTTTTTTCCTTTGTATTATTTGAGATACGTTCCGTTCTGCTTCTACTTCAGATTTGATTTATATATTTTCTATATCTATTGCTTAGCTATTGGCCTGCTTTGACAATTTCTATATACTTTTTCATTTATTGTAGATGTGACATACATACATATGTACGTAGAAAAGGGTATCGAAAAGTCTCCCCTTGATCCTGGTGGCCATCCGTTATGGTTCATCTTCTGTTTGTCCATCTGTCCATCGGCTATCGTTGCTCCCTCTGGGGCTTTCTTTCTCTCACTCTCTGAGGGGTGACAGGGCGAGGCGATGGCTTTCGGGGAGCGAGAAAGGTCTCTCATTATAGCGCTTCGTGTTTGGGTTTCAATGCCTTTCTTTGCTGAGTTTTTAAATTTCCATGTGACCACTGAAAGTTGGCAATTTTAAATAAAAATGCAAAATGCAAAGTAAAATAAATATGCATATATAGTAACACCTTCTAATGCTTAGGCCTGCTCCTTCTAAGGCTTAGACCTGCCTCCTTTTAAGGCTTAGACCTGCTCCTTCTAAGGCTTAGACCTGCTTCATTCTCCTCCTTCTAAGGCTCAGGTCCTGCTGATGCCGCACTCTCCTCCGTAGATATGGTATGTGTGACGGGTGACCTGTGATCTCTCTCTCTCTCTTTATTGGCATACTCATTGGCACATATGTATTATAGATTAAACGAATTTAAAATCATTTAAATAAATGTATATGCCCTCTGTTGGAAGCTGCCGAGCTTTTTCGGCAACTCTGACTCCACATTTACAATAATTTACTCCGTTGGTTAAGTTTACAAATGTTTTTTATTTTCACGACGGGTTACAAAGGTTTTGAGGCCGTGGCCGTGAACTACGACTCGATGCGATACTGGCATATGTGCGTGTGTAAGAGAGCGTACTGAGAGAGCGATAAGTATAAGCAGTATAAGAGATGATATATGACTATATGATATTAAGAAGAACTATTATCGGCTGCTGCTCCGAACACCCTCTCTAACTCTACCCCTGCCTTGTTTGCTGTATTCCCAGAGTATTCTAACAGAAACTTGCATAAAATAACGATATTATATGCCCCGGCATGGGTGGGCAGAGCAAACTGGACCCTGCCATTATCTAGCCATTGGCTGGTCATTAGAAGAGCTCAAGAGGAGGATGAGCAGGAGCAGGAGAAGGAGGAGGTGGGTTCATTGCCATATAATAAAAATTTCATATTTTGTTCAAATTGGTAATGCGAGGAGCGTGTCCCGACCCCCCCATGAATGTGAATGGACGAATGCAAAGTAAAACTCACGCAGCACCGCTGGATGCGTAAAAAGTGAGGGAAAAAATAGATTGAGACAAAGACAAAAAAATGCCGAACGTCTCAGGTCCACGACCCGAACGTCTCAGGTTCACACCCGAACGTCTCAGGTGCGCGAGCCGAACGTTTCAGGTCCAGCAGCCGATGACCTGGGGACCTGGGACAGAAAACTCAGCAGCGACACGTTCGGTGTATGAACTGGAACATCTATATACCGTATGGTTAGTGGTGTGGCCCAGGGTTTTTGCACTGATGTGGATTAAAGCCCAAGACGACGTTAGTTTTATTATAGTAGTAGTTATTATTACTTTTATTTAATTTTATTGGAATTGGTTTATGATTATGTGTATTTGTATGTATTGTATGTTTTTTGTTTTTTTTGTTTTTCCATGGATACGCCTTGGTGGGTGAGAATCTTTAAAAGACGTGACCGGCCCATACCAATCAACGAACTGGACTACCCCTCCGGGGCTTCTCAGCTAAACTCACCACACACAGCTACGCACCTCATTCCCCGCGGGATCACCGCAAAGTATTACTTTGCGGGGATGGGTTGCCTACTTTAGGCACTCTCCGCCAAGCGTCGCTCCCTTTCGCATCTCCTCAGATCGCTCTGGATGTCTATAAGGGTGTCGCAGACGCGTTTCCAATTCTCCTCGGACTCCGTCATGTAGGCCTTCAGCTCCTCTGGTGGTGGGACGAACCATGTTCTTGAGCGGTACCTCGTGCAGTGATAAATCACATGCTCCGGATCCTCGCTCTCATGCGGGCACTGGGGACACTCGGGGGTGTCATCGTGATTAAACCTGTGCAGGTACTTCCTGTAGCCTCTGTGGCCCGTCAGGAATTGGGTCAGGTGATAACTCACCTCTCCGATTCGCCGCCCTATCCATGGCTCGATGTCTGGAACAATCCTGTGGGTCCATCGTCCATTAGTGGCTATGTTCCACCTTGCCTGCCATGTTGCTATCGACGCCAGTCTTGCCGATGCTCGGATGGTCTCTGCCATTCTTCCTAACTCCGGGCGCTCTGCGTATAGCTGCGTCATCTCCGTCGCTAGGATGTCCACCGGTATCATACCCGCGAGGACCAGGGCAGCATCATCCGACACCGTCCTATATCCGGACACCACTCGAAGAGCGCAGAGCCTGTAGGGCACTGACAGCCTTTTTGGAGACTCTTGTTGCCGATTAGTACTGACGACCACACGGGCGCAGCATACAACAGGATCGAGGCCACTACTCTTGACAGGAGTAGCCGCCGGCCTGCCTTTGGACCCCCAATGTTGGGGAGAATCTTCGACAGGGCTGCCTGCATCCTGGAGGCTTTCTGGCTGACGTACTCGAGGTGGGCACGGTAGCTCAATCGGTTGTCCAGCATCACGCCAAGATACCTTATTGAGTCCTGCGACTTAATAGTCGCACTTCCCACCTTTTGTCTACTCGTAATGAGAACGGCCTCTGTTTTATGGCCGGCCAGGTCCAGTCCTGCACGCTCCTTGGCCACTACGACCAGTGCTAGGTCGTCGGCAAAGCCAATCAGCTGGCATCCCTGCGGAAGCTGGATTCTCAGGACGTCGTCGTACATTATGTTCCACAGAAGAGGTCCTAGAACTGACCCCTGTGGAACTCCGGCTGTCACCTTGTAGAGCTTCGGTCCTTCCTCCGTTTCGTACCTCAGTACCCTATCCGACAGATAATTGTCTATTATCCGGAGCAGGTAGGTCAGGATTCTTATTCTTCCGAGGGTCTCCTTGATCCGGGTCCAGTTCGCCGAGTTGAACGCATTACGGATGTCCAGGGTCACAACCGCGCAGTACTCCTTCGTGCCAAATCTCCATCGGGTTCCCTCGATCGCCCTCGATGAGATGTCGGTGACCGCTCTGATGGCGTCGACCGTGGATCTGGCCTTCCGGAATCCATACTGGGATTCTGACAGAGCTTTCAAGTCTTCGATCACTGCTAGTAGTATAGAGTACACGATCCTCTCCAAGACTTTACCGACGGAATCCAGCAGGCATATTGGGCGGTATCCTGACGGTTCCACCGGGGGCTTGTTTCCTTTAGGCAAAAGGATTAGGCGCTGCACCTTCCACTGCTTGGGAAAAACTCCTTCCCTTAGGCATCTGTTGTAGGTGTCTACGAATACCTCCGGTCTGGTGTTTGCTCCAAGCTTTAAGGCCTTGTTGGGGATCCCGTCTGGTCCTGGGGCCTTCTTGTCTCCGACTCTCCGGATGGCTGTCGTCACCTCCTCTGCGGAAATAGGCTGCCACAGTTCATGGTCCTGTTCATGATCCTGGTGTGGGTGCTATGGGAAAAGTGCCTCCACGATGCTACGAAGTAGCGTCGGGCACGTTACTTCCGGCGTTTCCTGGCTTCTGATCTTCTTGGTGACGACCTTGTATGCCGTCCCCGAAGGTTTTATATCCGCCTCCTCGCATATCTGCTTAAAGCAGGACGACTTGCTGCTTTTTATTGCTCGCTTAAGGGCTCGCTTGGCTGCACGGAGATCGTTTCCAAACGTGTCGAACTCCATGTCCATGACATCTTTCTATGTCAAAATTTCGAAAAAAATACCGCAAAATATGATGAAATTTGAATTTGAAAGCTTAATATCTTCCAGGCGTTAAGCTGCAGATACAAAGTGTCTGAACACGATTTATAGTTGCATTTGTCAGCTTTTCAGAACTGCTTAAGTTATGTGAAAAATAAAAGCACTAATTTCAGGTAAAATTATTTTTGAGTTGTTTTGGTCAAACGGCTGCAATTTGACCGTTTATCCATAGATTTAATTTTTTTTAGACTTTTCCTGAGATTTTAAAGTAAAAATTTCGAAAAAAAAATACCGCAAAAATATGATGAAACGAGAAGGAACGTGTGAGTCGTTTCTGGGGACACGACTCTACTTATACCCGTACTCAGTCAGTATATACATTATTGAGCTTATGATTTTTTAGAATTTTAGGAAAAAAAAAAAAATTTACATTTTACATTTTTTTGCTACATCTGCTATCTACATCTACATATACAATGTCTATTCTACATCTAACATGTAGATTGTACATGTTCCATTCATATTCTACATCTCCTCCGCTAGGGGTTGCTCGCGCACTGAACGCGGCAGAGTGTGCGAGCGAGAAGGAAAATGGGTTGCGTTGTTGTTTGCGGGAGGGGGAGGGGAAGCAACTGAAAATTAATTTCTTCATTCTGGTTACAAATGGCATGTTCCCCTTGTCTATAGATATCAGAAACCCTTCCTTTTTCCCTGACTTTGCATTAACGATGATGCACCTAACACAACTATTAACGATTCGTTCGACCTTATCTTTTAACTTCGGAATAAAGTAGAACTTTTCTATTAAGTCTATCGTCTTCTTAGTTCAAAAGTTCCCTTGACTATGCGCATTCGAAATGATTTCGTTTTCCATTACTGATGGCACAACAACCAGTTCCCGATTTTGATCCTTCAAAAGAATATCGTTGTGAATATAAAAATCTTCATAGCCTTCATTCCCTACTAGGCTCCTAACTGCCTTTATCCAATCGTCATTCAATTGAGCCACCTTTAAACGATGTGCTAATGCATCTGTAAAAAAGTTACAAGAGATTCGACTTAGCGCATCGGCATGCTTCATTTTCAACCCCGAACGGTGCTCTATCTTATAATTGAAGTCTTGCAAATATAATGCCCAACAAGCTACTCTGAGTGGAACTTCCTTTTTATTCATGGTCATTATGAAAGCATTACAGTCCGTTACGATGGTAAAATTAAGACCTAACAGATAAACTCGCCACTTAACTAGAGCTCCTATGATCGCCAATACTTCTAGCTCAAACGGTGTTGTTTTCCGGCTCATATGTTGAACAGGGTGAAACATACTGTCTACAGGATCCTTTTGCAATAAGACAGCTCCAAGTCCATACTTGGATGCGTCAGTGTGGATTTCGGTTGCCAAATTTGGATCGTAAAGTTTCAATACTGGCTCGCTAATCAATTCCAACTTAAGCTTTTAGAAAGCCACTTGTTGTTTTTCTCCAAACTCGTACTTTGACTCAT